TCTGAGGGGTCTCAGAGCGTCCTGCACTTCAGTGACACCGCCGAGACCGGTACCGGGCGGATTCGGGGGGTTCTGGGGGGATTTGGGGGGTTCTGAGGGGATTTGGGGGTTCTGGGGGGGTCTCAGAGCCTCCCACATTTTATTGACAGGGCTGAGACCGATACCAGGGAATTTGGGGGGATTTGGGGGGTTCTGAGGGGATTTGGGGGTTCTGGGGGGGGTCTCAGAACCTCCCACATTTCAGTAACACCACCGAGACCGGTACCGGAATTTTTGGGGGGATTTGGGGGGTCCCAGGATGGGGAGGATCAATTTTGGGGTGATTTTGGGGGGTCCCAGGATGCAGGGGAATCAATTTTGGGGTGATTTTTGGGGTCCCCAGGAAAGAAGAAGAAGAAAACTCGGGGTGATCATTTCAAGCTGCGCTTCCGAAAGAATTTCCAGGCACTGCTGGAGGAGCAGGTGGGGAAATTTGGGGGGAATTTGGGAAAATTTGGGGGGAATTTGGGAAAATTTGGGGTTTGGGGGGGTCCCAGGAGGGAATTTGGGGTTGGGGTTTTAGGGATGGATTTTGGGGATTTTAATTTGGGGCTGGATTTTGGATTTTGGGTCGGTTTGTAGTTGATTTTTAATTTTGAGCTGAATTTTTGGGGCCTGATTTGGGGTCAGATTTTTGGGCTGGATTTTAAATTTTGAGCTGGATTTGGAGCTGAATTCTTGTTTTGGAGCCGAATTTCAGATTTTGGGCTGATTTTGGATCTGAATTCCACATTTGGGGCTGAATGTTGCAGCTGAATTTTGGATTTGTGCTGGACTTGGGACTGAATTTTGCATTTGGAGATGGATTTGGGGTTAATTTTGGATCTGAGTTCTGGATTTGAAGCTGATTTTGGACCTAAATTTTGGGCTGAATTTGGAGCTAAATTTTAGATTTTGCGCTGGATTTGGGGTTCATGGATTTCAAATTTTGGGATTGGATTTGGATCTGAATTCTGGATTTTGGGGCTGGATTTGGAGCTGAATTTTGGGCTGAATTTGGAGCTAAATTTTGGATTTTGAGCTGGATTTGGGGTTGATGGATTTCAAATTTTGGGATTGGATTTGGATCTGAATTCTGGATTTGGGGGCTGGATTTGGAGTTGAATTTTGGGCTGAATTTGGAGCTAAATTTTGGATTTTGAGCTGGATTTGGATCTGAATTTGGATCTGGATTTCAGATTCTGGGGTCGGATTTGGATCTGAGTTCTGGATTTTGGGGCTGGATTTGGATCTGAGTTTTGGGCTGAATTTGGAGCTAAATTTTGGATCTTGAGCTGGATCTGAATTTTGATGGATTTCAGATTTTGGGGTTGGATTTGGAGCTGAATTCTGGATCTTGGGGCTGGATTTGGATCTGAGGTTTGGATTTTGGGTTTGATTTTGGATCTGAACTTTGCATTTTGGGCTGGATTTGGATCTGAATTCTGGATTTTGGGGCTGGATTTGG